TGAAATATTCAGTCTTTCTTCCCTGTAAATGTGCTGAGGACCTGATAGCATTATAATCCAACTTAACCCGGCCCATTGTTGCAAAACCTGTGCAAAGAAACACAATAAAACCCAAATATATTATAATGTAAGCTATTGTGGATTAGGGAGGGTCACTGGTCTACACATGCCAAAAAGTAAATTGGGTATCAGTGTTGTTACTTAAATTCTTCCTTCTATCCAATAAGCAAACACAATTCCCCCTTTACATTCAAAATAGCCCATTCAAAACTGGATTAGTGATTTGCACGGAGGGTGAAGTAATGCCATTTTCTAGGCTGTCAATCTTAACAAAAAAAATGCAATTGGGAATACGTTTTTGACACGTAATTTTAGCAGTGAAGATTATGGAATTAGAACAGTGTTGTTGCAAGATAGAATTTTGTGTTTAAAGGGCCTGTATTAGGTTAATTTCTGATCTATGTTATAATGTTCAGATCAGTGCAGCATTGGCAGTGATGCGGTCGCTGTATCGAACTGTTGTGGTGAAGAGGGAGCTGAACCGAAAGGGGAAGCTCTTGATTTACTGTTCAGTCTTCGTTCCTTCCCTCACCTATAGTCATGAGCTTTGGGTAAAGACCGAAAGGATGAGATCACAGATACAAGCATCTGAAATGAGTTTCCTCCGCAGGTCTCTTGGCGCTCCCTTAGAGATTGGGTGAGGAGCTCGGTCACACGGGAGGAGCTCGGAGTAGAGCTGCTGCTCCTCCACATTGATAGGAGCCAGCTGAGGTGGCTCGGGCATCTGTTCCGGATGCCTCCTGGACGCCTCCCTCTGGAGGTGTTCTGGGCATGTCCCATGGGAAGAAGGCCCCAGGGAAGCCCAGGACACGCTGGAGGGACTATGTCTCTCGGCTGGCCTGGGAACGCCTCAGTGTCCCCTCGGAGGAGCTGGAGGAAGTGTCTGGGGTGAGGAAAGTCTGGGAGTCCCTGCTTAGACTGCTGCCCCCGCGACCTGGCCCCAGATAAGCGGAAGAAAATGGATGGATGGGTTATAATGTTGGCTCATCAAAAACATACCTGGAGTTGTGTTTTGTTTCATTCACACTTGTTGAACACACAAAATCTGCTGAGTTGTTCTCTCTTACATAAAATACTCTGTTCCACCTTGTGATGTCATGTGGTTATGCACTGTGTTTTTGAACCCCACACACCTTCACTAGAATCATCTGGATGAGTTCAGCCCTGGAATTGCCCATCTCTACTGAAATAAAGGTTAAAGACAGCTGAAAAACACCACTTCGTGACATCACAAGCTGGAACAGAGCATGTTGAGCTTTGGAGATGTACACAGACTAATAATAAAGGGTTAATCAGACGTGTGTGAATGAAACAAAACACAACTCCAGGTATGTTTTTGATGAGATAACAACATTCTGACATGACTTTAAGCTCAAAATAGTAAATTCCGTATAATATAGACACTTTAAGCTCAGCATGCCATTAGCTGATAAGTCGTGAAGAGCTGAATTGCCTTTTGGACATACTTGGGATTTATAGGATTAAACTGAATGGAAAATTGTGTATCTTTTGTAACAATTAAACGTGGAAAAAGTACAGTCAAGGGCCGCTGTGCTGAAGAGGCTAGAGTCCAGTGCTAAGGGTATTAATTAGAGAGGAAAATCAAAGGACGCATTATGCAGAGTCACCATGCGAAGTTTCGGAAATGTCAGCAGACAATTCAGGACTTGTAAATTGGCGTGGGTCGGTAATCTCTTCAGTGTCGATGAATTACCTGATCTCCACAAACGCCCTGTACTCCCAACTCCCTGGTCAGCTTCATTATCAAAATACAACTCAGTCTCAAATGGCCTCCACAATCAATTTGTGTGAGAAGCAAGGTCCTGAGTGAAAAGCCAGGAGCCAGGACTGCGGATACAATGTTGGATAAGAGCTGTGAGCAAAACACACGCACTACCAGTCAAAAGTTTTTGTTTGTATGTTTACAGCTTTCTTCATTTTATATACACACAGAAGACATCAAATATATGAAGTAAGATGTATGGAATTATGTAACAAAGGGGGGAAAAGTCAGATACTTCTTCTTTAATGTATATTTTTTTTAATAAAATCATTAAATTAGCCACCATTTGCTTTGTCGAAAAATGCATATAGTGTGCTATACTCTTGCTTCATATGTGATGTCTTCATTATGTACCTAAAAAAAAAAATTAAGAAAAAAGAAACAAAACATTGAACGAGTGAGTCAAAACTTTTGACTGGTTGTGTATATTTCAGTATATTTTGAATTCTCTATTTCTTCCTTTTTATTTGTATTTATTTATTGTGTATATTGATGAAGGCACTGTGTAAAGTGTTTATTTTAGTTAAATTCATTTTGGACTAGCAAAAAGTGTGACATTGACCATGGTTTTTCACTGGTTTAAAATTGTAGGCTTAATAAACCTGATTCATCAGCCAGTTTCACTTCGTGGAAACCGTCTGACCTCGCATCATTAGTTAGTACTTTTTTTTTAATTTAACCAATCGCTGCTAGTTGGTCATGGCGTATGAACTAAGCTTTTCCCAAATCCCATAGGAAGAAGGAAAATAACGTCTTTCCTCTTGATAAAATTCACCAAACGTTCTCTTTTTGTTCCAGCTTCAAATCCTCGATCTCGAGAATTGTTGCCAACACAGAATGTATGGCTCTTCACTGATTGGCTGGTGCCCGGACTCGCACTTCCGGGGTTTTTTAAACTGTCTAGTGTATTCCGATTCCTGACCTAGTCACTGGAGAGAAATTAAATTGAGTGGAGGCACTAGGTGGCGCCATCCTGGTTAGGAGTTAATACAGTTTTATACAATTAGATTAAAGGCACTGTACCTTTATATACCTGAAAAAAAAAAAAATAGAATTAGTTCATATTAAACATTTTGCAGCTTAAACTTATTCCTCACTTACCTTATGCATTCCAAGCATCCTTATTAGCTTTCAGCAACTAGCATGCAACACACTTTCTCATTATTGGCCAGTTAAATTACTTCAAATTCAATGCAGAAAGCAGCTGGTGGACCAAGTTTGACTTCAAGAGCTGCTTATACAATATTTATGAGACAAATGTTATTCAAAGATGGGAAAAAAACTGGTCCGGGGTCTTTAACTGTATGTTTATATGATCCTGGAACATGCTGTCACTTCGTCAGAACTACTGCTGCTTATTTGCATTTAACTCATAGTAACTTATAATTCCTTTTTATTTCCTTTTCCTTAGATATTTCCTTTGCTTTTAAGACTTACTGCAAAATCAGTATGCATTAGCCTCAGCCATAAATGCGTATAATTTGGAAACTCTACTACATTACATTACTTTTCCAATTTACATCAGTTGTAAGTTATAGTACGTGGTGTGTAATTGAAGTTGATGCATCTTATTATGTTTAAGATTTGTTGCAAAGTGTCTTATAATTGAATTTGTACCTTTTATTCACTATGCATCAGTGAGTAAAACAATGTCTGCTAATTGTTAAGATTGCATTCTGTACTAGACTTTTGCAAAATTCAATCAACTCCTGATTTAATTACAGAAAAACATCATTTGGACACATGCAGGGCACAGTGGATGTGGAAATTGGACATCAAGTGTATATTTTGTCTTGGAGTTAGAAAGTTGGATCTTTTAGCAGCCAAATGATTAAAGGGCTCATATTATGCTACTTTTTGATCTGTCATGATGTTTCTTCATCACAAACATAGCTGGAGTTGTGTTATGTTTCATTCACACATAACACACAAAACCTGCATATTGAGGCTACGTTTATATGATGACGGTCTGAACAGAAGACACAAAAGTGGCGTCGTGTCTTCACTTTTTATTCTGTGTTTAGACAAACGTTATTAGGAGGAAATCTCCCAGAGTTTTGATCAGTTCTTCAGCAGTGTAGATGAAAACACTACAGTCGAGCGTATTCAACTTTTCCACTCTGGAGGGTGGTTTCTAGGCAGGCTGGCGCCACCTAGTGCCTCCGCTCAATTTCATTTCTCTCCAGCGACTAGATCAAGTATCAATATGCAATAGATGCTTCGCAAAAACCCTGAAAGCGCGATTTCAGGTACCAGCCAAATCAGTGAAGAGTGACATATTCAGTGTTGTCAATGATTCCCGAGATCGAGGATTTAAAGCCAGAACAAAGAGAAGATGTTTGGTGAATTTTATCAAGGGGAAATATATTACTGCCCCTCTTGCCCCGTTAGCAGCGCATTACATACGTGACTACCAAATAGCAGCGACTGGTTAAATGATAAAAAGTACCAGTCTACCCTTGAGCGAACAAATTCTAACACTGCAAGGTCAGACAGAAACTGTCTGATCTCACAGTGTTAGAATTTGTTTGCTCGACGAAGTGAAACAAAGTGAAACCGGCTGATGAATCAAGCTAGGTGGTTTCAGACCAAGCCCCAAAAACGTCGCCATCATCTAAACGAAAAGCACTTCTGATAAAATATTTTGTCGTTTTTACCTGCTAGCATTCTCTTATGAACAGGCCCTGAGACTGAGTCCTTCTCTCAAATGGAAAACACTCTGTTCCACCTTGTGATGTCATGTAGTAACACAAGAAGTGCTCCACTGTGTTTTTAAACTAAAATTTAATGCACATTCACTACAGTCATTTGGATGATGTAAGACCTGGAGTCGCCAATCTCCACTGAAAACTACCACTACATGACATCACAAGGTGGATCAGAGCATTTTGAGCTTTGGAAATGTAGACATACTAATAATAAAGAATTCCTCAAATATGTGTGAATGAAACAAAACACAACTCCAGCTATGTCTGGGAGGAGGTAGCAACATTATCTTGTAATTCACACAAGAGTTAATTTTGTGTAATATAGGACCTTTACGTTTGTTATTTTGAATGTAAATTTTAAAAAAGACAACTGTTAATAAACATTTTCACATCTCAAGAGTGCACTTTGAAATCCGTATGTTGAAAATCTATGTTTCTTTATCTCGCAGAACAGGACCGGTAGCAGCTGTTGATGTTTGGAGAATGACAGTGCGAAGAGAGAGGAAAGCAGCTCTGGCAGGGGAATAAGGAGGTAGGACTGTCACCATAAAACACAGCACTTGTAATTTAACATTTAAAAGAATTACACACCATCGCGCAGTTTGCCTTAAGAACGGAAAACTCAAAATCACTCCTCAAATGCACGCGAGAGTGACTGTACAAGAGGAATGGTGGGGATTTTGTAGCAGCAATTGTACTGTACTGAAAACGTGTCTATTTTAATGGTGCACTGCGCAACTTTTCTGGTGGAGAGTTCGTCGCCTGCTTGTCTCGATGTTTTGCTTTGCCAGGAATGTTCCATAGTTTGACATTAAACACATACAGTATATATCTAGCATTTATTCATTACAATATATTTCCACAGATCTGACCTGTAATGTAAGTGTTTCCCTTGAGATCTACAGATTTAATCATTACTGTGGAACATTCTAGACAAAGCAATAACATCTCCATGATAACAAGCTGGTCTCCTCCACTAGAAACGTTGCGCAGTGCACCTTTAAAAATGACATAAAATGCAAATTGACTTTTTAAACTCCAGGATGTAACATTAGGGATGTAACAATATCCAAATCTCTCTGTATGATATTATCATGATATGCATCTCACGGTATGATATTTATTGCGATATTTTGGAAAGGCTGATATAATTATGGATAGGACACTTTTTTTGACTTTTAAAATACCCTGACAAGATGTTGGTGTGAATTATTATTATCATAACCCCAAGAATTCAAGTAAAAAACATATTTCTTCATATTGTCTGAGCTGAAATGAATCATGGGATATGTAGTTCTTGATGTTTATTAGGTACTGCTACTATAAAAAAAAAAAAGAATTTAAGCAAAGGAACTTGTAATTCGATATATTATGACAGCCCACGATATTATTGTGACATTTTTGACGATACGATATCACGATATTTCTGTTATTGTTACAAGCCTTTTGTAACAGACCTTGAGTTGTATTTAGTGGTTGAAAATACCCACATTGTAACTGTCCACAGATTGTTTGGTAACTTAGAAAACTACAAGTGTCTTAGTTTTTAAGTCCATAATTTAACACTGGACTTCTGAGCATTTGTGCTTTAAAATTGCATTCAGTACAAACATACAGATACAATAGCATGATGGCTCAGTTTGTGTTATTAGGTTCTTTTAACAGACCAAGAGTTTGTTTTCATACCTGACAGTTTCGACTGCTCATTTAGTGGTCTTCCTCAGAGTGGTCACGTGATGTTGCTGTGACATGTCCGTTCAGCTGATTTTTACAGGCTTTGGCGCTGTCTTCCTACCGGTGGAGGCAAGACGACAGCGCCATCTGCAGTCTGACTTCCTCAGGACAGTATCCCAGGTGTGTGAGAGTAAAAAAGCCCCCTCGTCCCGGTTTATAGTCTTGTGGGCACATTTCCGTATTATGATTGCCTCTTTTATCCAGCGACGGTGTTTGTTGCCCTGTAATTCTCTTTTATGACAACTCGGTTGCTAAATTGCTGCTAAAATGTTTCTTTTTCTTGTTTAATGCCTGTAGCTGTCAGCAGAGGGAGCTCTAATACGAATCTGATCACTTAGAAATGGGATCTTTGCTTTTAAAAATGACACGAAACATAAAATACACTAACCACTGTAACCAAAAGCATGTTTAAAAGCCAATAAAGCACAACATAATGCACGCTATCTCCACTATAAAAGTATTTTAATTGCAATTCCCTTTTTAAACCGGTCCATCCCACAAACTAACAAACAAGTTCAGATGAAACAGTGGCTTTTACTAACTTAGGAAATTGCATTAGTAGGCACTTCCACACTCATGACAGCATTATGTTTATTGTTCCTCCAAGCAGGAAAATATTTAGTGAGCTGTGAATGCCCTGGTCTGATGTTGCAAGCTGTGTGTTTAACAATTTACATAATTAAAGAAAATTAGTCAAATTATTCATGTATGGCATATGGTGTAATGAATACTATTGTCTGTGAAGAAAAACCCTCCAAAAGGCTTGAAGCTTATATCAACTTTTGCACTTCTTTAAGTAATAGTCCTATTACGAGTATAGAGAAGAGACTGAAGTGAGTTTAAGGTAGCTCTATATTCAGGACTTCAGTCAAAGGTTTTATACACTCAGAGTCTCGTAATGTTACACCAGTGATGGACTCTGTTTTTGGGTCAGTGGAGCACCCTCATTATTATTGTCCAGCCGAGCGAGGGAATATTGACTGAAAGTGAGTTAAGAAGGGCTGATGCTGTGAAACCGAGCTGTATTAACTATTTACATAGTCAAAATGAATCATAATAACTCATAATTAAGATCATTTGTGTAAATTGGCTGCAGGACATGGCCTACTGAGTCCATTGTCCGTGTGAAACCTCTGGAGGATTGTGCCTTTGACTCCATTCTTCCTGTATGCTAATACCAAGGGACGTGACAACACTGCAAAATCTAAAATTGTGTTATTTTGATTTGGGTAACAATCACATGACATGTATAATACTTCGGGTTACACTGAAGATAAGAAAAACAACAAGTCTTTGTACTTAAAATAAGAAAGTAAATCATATGCTGTTTGATTTAAGAAAAAAAGGACTTATTCCACTGGTAGATAACTTTAATTGTCAAGTGAAATCTACTCAAATTAAGTTCAGTCTTGTTCATTTAAAAGTTTGAGTTTGAATTTACTGAAATATTACTTTTTTCTGTGCCGTCAAAAGTCTCACAATAATACCATGGCCCATCACAATATATCAAATTACAAGTCTCTTGGCTTAAAGTTAAAGTTTTGGTGCTGTAATAGCTAAAAAAAAAAAAAGAGTGCACTACATGTACCATGATCCTTTGCTCCATTACAGTGCAGACTACATGAAAAGTAATAAAGATAAAAATCAGAACCATAATCTTTTATGCACGTTTGAATCTTAATTCTTTGGTTTTTGACAGAACAAATGTTTTTTCAAGGCATTTAAAAGGAAAAAATTGCATTTTCACAATTACAAAATATTGCCATAAATAGTGTACCATGGGATGTATATCGTGAAAATACTGTATCGAGAGATTAGAATATTGTTATATCCTAGTAAAGACGCAAGACTGGACCCACAAAAAAGAGAAAAGATAAGATTTTTACATCATATTACATAATCAAGAAATGGTGCGATTAGTAGTGTTGCCATGCTACTGAAATTTCATAACTCAAAACTCGATTCTGATACTAAGGAATATACTCGATACCCAGTACCAATTCTGATACCATGGTGATAATAAAATCACCCTTTAGACAAAAGAAGGTGATTTTAAGCATTAAATCACAGTACAGTCTTTTATATTACCATGTGGTGTTTTATATCCGTGTAATCCCCCAGTTGTCCAAAGTCTGTATGTTCCATATGGGCATTTACTGTGGTCTTATACTTTGATGCGGCTCAAAATCATTCTAAAGCTCTTCAGGAAAGCTTCATTTCTGTCCTGTGGATGTGACTTATTTTAGTATCGTTACCAGCTCAAATTAGTGAACAGTTTCAGACCTAGTTTTAGTATCGATTAGTGTCTGATTGTCTTTACTTTTGACTACCGTAGCAGTCAGTGTACAGTTTTTGCATTCCAGTTTTTCAGTGGATGGGTTTTATTCTCTCTGTCATTGTTTAGCTGCTTTTTGGATCTATGGCTCACACTGGGGGCATTCTATATGTATGTGTAAACTATAGGTCAGAAGGTAATTCATCTCAAAAGTACTCAAATGCAAAAATAAATAACAGATTTGGATTCTGATTTTGCCTTTCCAGAGATAGCTTAGGTTTTGATATCGGACCAGTAGTTGTTGAGTAAATGCAATTTGAAATTCAGCGACCACGCAAAAAAAAGTGAAAAAAATTTATTGCAATATCTCAGCAACCGTTACTCCGATCATGCTAAAATTTGAGATTCTTGGCTATGACTTAACCAAACACCAGTTTAATTTGCAGTTGGACAATGTGAGGGTTCAAATTGCAATTTTTTGGAGTGAACTGAGGTGGAATAACTCTATGGCAGGATGTTCATCAGTTACCATGGTGACACAATGCACACATTCTCAAACACTGTCAGAAAAGTTTTAAAATAGTCTCAGTGTCCATGGTCCTGTTCAGCGGTTTGATTTTCAACAAAAAGGTGAGAGTGACTAACTAACGGATCTTCAGACCGAGCAGTGCCTACAGTTTGCACCACACCCTCAAAGATTGTTGATGACATCAGCTGCAAAGTATCAATAACTTTATTTATTGTCCAAACCAAATGTGAACACACGGACCAACCCATTTTCCAGTTCTAACTTGCAGGATCCTTTGGCACCAGCTCTTGTCCCCATGCGTAATAATGGCGTTTTGTAAATAGCAGTTATCTTAATAAGAGCTCTGAGGTGTTGAGATGGCGATGGCTCCAGGCTGAATAAACAGGCCTGTGCAGTAGACAGGCCCGTGATGTACCTCCCTCACAGCGACACTTCCTGCTAAACGCTTCATTGGAGCTGTTCAGTGGCTCAAGTGGAGAGTGTGCAGTGATGAGGTGCTCCCAGCTGTGCCAGTGTCTCCCACTATCAATGACGAAGAGGCACCCGAGCTCAGCAAATCAGCGAGGGAAGAGGAGAGACAACGCGCAATACATTTTAAAGGACTCGTATTACGCCATTTTCTGATTGATGTTATAATGTTGTTTCCTCATCAAAAACATACCCGGAGTTAAGTTTTGTTTCATTCACACATGTTTAACGCACAAATCCTGCATATTTAGGCTTCTTCTCTCAGACTCAAAATATGCTGTTCCAACTTGTGATGTCATGTGGTAATACAGGAAGTGCTCCACTGTGTTGTGCTCCAGACATTTTGTACGGAAGCCAGGAGGGTCATAACAAATGCAAACGGCGCAACAAATACAAACGTGACAACAAACCAAAAAAGCACAACGGAAGTGACAGCGGGATTCTATTTTAATGGAACGCCACAACAAATACAAACATCACAACACAAATGCAAATGCCACAACACTACAAAAAGCCACAACAAACC